GGGAGTAAGGGGCGTTGGCTGAGGGCGGGGGCAGGATGTGACACGTTAACACAGGATAGGCAGGGAAGGCCTCCTCACCCAAGGGAACGAAAGGGATTCCAGAAAGCCAGACCCCGAGGGGACCGCCTCTTTCCCGCTTACCTCCGTCAGTGTCTGGTGACAGACGTTCACGATCTCCTGAGCAGTCTTAGTATACTGACTTTCGGGCCCTGTAAACGAAAAAAGAAAATGCCATTGCCTTTGCAGACTTTATTTCCAGAAATTTAGTCTGTTACTAGCAGTGGTGTCCTATGATCTCAGGCCCCAAAAACCATGCTTCAGTTTAACTTGAACTCTTGGTTTACTTTTGGAGGTAGAAAATTTCAAATATATGAAAAAAAACAGGGACATCAATATAATGAACTCCCCATGTGCCTGCTACCCATCTTCAATGATTACCAACACATGGTCGATCTTGTTTCATTTAAACCTGAACTTTCACACTCACAAATTATCTTCAAATTCCAGTATCATCTCATTTTACCCATTAAATTGTTCAATATGTACTTTTAAGGACTCAAAAAAATAACTATGTACGATAGTGTAACGACAGACACGTCATTATACATTTGCCGGAACCCACAGAATGGACAACACCAGGGTGACTCTGGGTGTGTCAGTGGAAGGTCATCGATTTTAACAAATGCGCAGCTGTGCGCGGGCTATTGCTAATGGGGGAGGCAGTGCCTGTGTGAGGGCACAGGGTACATGGGTGATCTCTGTTCCTTCAGCTCGGTGCTGCTCCACACTGCTCTAAAAAATAAAGTCTATAAAGAACTCCAACTGTATTACCTCTAAAATAATTAACAGTAATTCTTCATTATTATTAAATGGCCAGTGACATTCAAATTTCCCTAATTATTTCATAAATATTCTTTTTCATTGGATTTCTTTGAATCATAATCCAAATAAGGTCTCCACATTACATCTGGCTGATGTGTCTCTTTAAGACATTTTTATCTATTAGGTGATTCTTATGCAAACTATACGGTTCCTCATACGGCCTTTGTCACAAGCTGCAAAATGCTGGCTTGCAGGTCAACCCGGATTTGTTTGGCCCATATAAAAAAGTCAGTCCAGTCTGTGAAAATGGATTGAGCAATACACCCATAATATATACACTTTTCGTATGTAAGTTGTATCTCAATGAAGTTTTTAAAAAACCTGAATTATCCGACGTTTAAGAATCAAGAGACTTCATATAAAAACCCAAATGTCTAACTCCTCCTAAAAAATTAAAAAATAGGACAACACAGGGCCAGCATCCCCGCAAGGCACCCACTGGCTAGAGCTGAGCAGCAGCTGCCCTTTTTAGGCCAGGCGTGTGCGTGTGTGCTCCAGGTCACCAGAGCCCCTCACAGGCCTGCTCAACTCACTCACACCTGGGCCCTGGAAGCGTCTGAGTTTTTAATCCCTGCCACAAGTGTTTGACGATATTCTTTAAAATAGTGAAGCTTATAGTCCAGCAGAGTGAGACAGACTGTAAACACACAGGGCAATACAAAGCAGTGAAAAAGTACATACGGGGCTCAGTAGAGGCACAGAGGAAGAAGTGGACAGTCTGGGACGTAAGAGGGAAACAGCTATTAGGGAAGGCTTCCCAGAAGAGGCGATCCCTGAGTTAAACCAATGGTTCATCAGAATGTAAAGGATAAAAAATATACCATGTGCGCATGTGAAGCTTTCACGTCATACCTACTCTGATTATTACAAATCATACGAACAAAAACGTCTCTTGCAGTTAAAATCTCTCACAAGTACAAACCATCTACTCTTTAAAAGATGTAAAATAAAGCTGCATCCTCGCACGAGCTGACTGTGCCAAATACGAATGAACCAGAAAGAAAACTAAGTCAATCATCAGGATATTTGGGACACATATAAAGACAGCCAGAGCTGGCTCACAACCAAGAATAGTCTGAGTGATAAGGAGGCTGCAGCTCAAGTTTCTAGGGTTCTAATCTCCTCGGGCCACCAGTAGGCTGGTCCTCGAACTACTGATCTGACAGAGACAGACTGCAAGAGCGAGCAGACAAACGTTCATGTTGACATTCACGCAGGACACTACGGGAAAAGGCCGTCTACAGGTGGCAGGCCTCCTTCACCGAGCAGCGTGTCAGCTTCCTACGGCACACTGGCTTCACCACCTACCGGGACCTGCCTGCCTCACGGCTAAAATTCCAGAGTACAGATCAAGAATGTAGCCTTTGCTCTACTTCAGTTCTGAAACCTAAACACAAACCAACGCGTCAACGTCTCAGTGCTCTCATTTATGACACACGGAAAAAATCATTTTATGCATTTGCGATGTTGTCTTTTTGAAGATGGGACCTCCTCTCTCCCCATTTTCTTTGCAACACACAACTCTAAAGAAATACCCATTAATAGTACACACAGAACATAAAAAAAGATGTACTTACACAGATGATAGTTGTCTGTGTTTTGATTACTAGCTATGTCTTAGTTTTTGACAGTCTATACGCTCTCAAGAGTTACAAGGTTTTTAGCTTTATTACTCTACTATTTGCAAAGAAGCGTTGAAATATTTTTGATGAAAGATGGTGGTGGAGTTTGCAAATCACTCTTACCACCACTGAAAAAGGCTAAAAATACCAAGATGTTTTCTTATCTGTACCTCTACCAGGAATTTTTGAATGGGGCGGTAATGAGAGAGAGATTGATCCATGAGCCTCATGAAACTCTAAACAAAACTCTGTACGTAATATAAATTCTTGTGAGTAGAAGGGCTATAGTTTTTCATTAGAGTCTCAAAAGAGTCCATAACCATCCCCATAAAGCTAAAATTCTTGCTCTGTATTCTGTAGCCATCTGGAGCTTACTAAAAGCTTTAAGTTTCACAGCTTAGGAAGAGAGGAGTCCAGTGAGGACACAAACAAAGGTAACAGGTCCTCGCAGGAAAAAGAAAGGTGCTGGGGCTACCGTGGGGGGAAACACGAGTGATGAGAAACCGAATTCGAACTTCCCAGCCCCTGAGGGGTTTCTATACAGAAAACCAAAATTGATAAAAAGTGATTTTCCAAATAACACGAAAATTAATATGAAAGATAAGGCCATCTATGAATTACCACTGTGACCTACAGGAGACTCAGCTACCCATTTACAAAAAGAAATGCTTTTCTGAATATATTTTGCTTTTTCTCTCGCTATTAAATCATGGCAAAGAAACCTCAAATGTTCTTCGAAAAAATTTGTATTTATATTTTGCCTCATTCCAAATAAAGATTGGCAGCAGCCTACAGTATTATATATAATTCAAATCCAAATGTCCTTAAAAAGTGGTGATTTCGATAACAGCTTTGGAAAGCTGACATGCCGCTAAAATCAAGAAAATTTCTTTTGTCATTTCTAAGTTAATTTACCTCTTTAGTGATGCAAGGCGAAGAAAGAAAAGCTACGAGCTTTGTGGCTCCAGTTAGAGAGAGCTAGTGAGTATCACTGCTGTCCTAAAGGTTTCAGAGAAAAACCCCAGTCCAGCTGGTGAGCAGTCCCACCCGTCTAAGCTCACATTTCCTTTGAGAACCTTTCCGCAAACACTAAAAATAACTCTCCCCCTAAGAAAGTGAGTACTCTGCCAAAACAAGAAACCATGACAGTGAACAGTGTGGAAGATATGCACTGTGTTCCAAAGTGAACGATTAAAATTAAAACATAAAACCTCGGTAGTAACAGAAAGCTGTTTTAAAAACTCAGTGCCAGATTTGAAAAGAAAAAGTCTGCACAGCTGATTCCTAAAGAAACTAGAATTACTAAGTTTGACCACGCACAGTCCATGGATCCCAGAGATAAGCTTGGGTTCTCCTAATTCTTAGAGATTTATCTCCAACCAGGTCCAGAAAAGGTAAAAAGAGAGGTGAATCTAATCTTTCAGACTGTAGTGAGGCTCTTTACATTATGTAGGATGTGGATCAGATGCAAATTAAGACGTTTGCTTTCCAAGATAAGAGGTCTGATCTCTCAAAGCAGAGCAGAGCACCTCGCTTAGAATCTGGACTACAAACTCGAGCAGCTGGAAGCTATGCAGAGGGGACCGGGGATGAGCAATCTCATGGGGCAAGGGCAGGGCTTACGTTCAGGGCCTGTCTGACAAAAAGCCCCCAAAGCGTAAAAACGCTTCTCCCCCACCCCCAAACAAATCACCATTCTATTTAACAACTTAAAAAAAAATACACACATAGAGGTATAGCATCAGGCTCTGAAGATACAAAAATAAAATAAAACAACAGAACAAACCAAAAAACAAGAGACAGGTCCTTGTCCTTGCTGCCCTTTGTGGCTTCGTGGAAGCTACATGTACACAAACCCAGGATTCCAGGAAAGGGAGTGCAGCGGAAGTGACGACCACGTCAGAGAACGCGGCGATGCTAAGGAACATTCCATGGAAACGGTCCTCATCAAGCCCGCACCGCACCGACATGCCAGTCGCCAGATCCAGCGAACACTTTTCAGACTCGACCTCAGAAGCCCCGAGTTATATTTACAACTGCCATTCCCTTCTTCCTTGAAACACTAACCCTGTGGCTTCCATAAGCCACTCTCTACTCACCCCTGGTACCTCTATCTTGGGCCATCAGTTCACATGACAGATACTTACTGAGTGTCTACTATGCGCCACGCATTATCCTAAGCACTAGGGAAATAAGACCTGCACGGGGCTTACGACTACTAGATTTAGGCCACTACGTCTACCTGTGCCCATTTTTCTTTCTATACTCTTCACCCAACTCTACACGATGCCGACTACGATAGCTTATACAGGATAAACACGGGGGTTAACACTGGCATGTGTCCCTCATGGTAAGCTGTGGATTTTCCCGGCACCAGAGCTGCCTTGAAAATACATTACAGAAACTCCGAGGCTGAAAGCAAGGCTGTTTTTCCGCATCCTTTTTCTTTTAGTAAATAGTAATTTTTATTTTCCCAAATGATATTTTTTAAAATGTGGACTTTGCTGTGGCCTTAACACGTCCTGCTGCATATTTGTTCACTGGCATATTACACCATCTCACTCGGCCCAAGTGCGGGACTTTTCAGTGAAATGCCGCTTTCCACCAGAGTGCTTATCACTATCAACTAGCTCGCTACAGTGCGTAAGAGACGATGGCTACTGAGTTCTGAACAGCAGATGTCTATTCCCTATCACAGGAGTCCC